TCTTTACATTTCACCCCATGTCAGCATTATATCATTAGAGTTCAGTATTCGGTTTTTGTCCTTAAAGTAGATAATTTTTTAATCTGTCGAGGGAAAGGTTTCCGAAAAGCTTTGCTTAAAAGAGCTTAGTATAGGAGAGTACAGTACAGCATGACAGAACTAAATGAGATCAAGATCTGGAGTCTCACAAACGAACTCCCTGCCTGTTTGAATCTAGGGTCTGCCCGTCACTGCTGGTGGTACCTTTAGCTTTCTGAGCCAGCATGTTTCATCCATGAAAAGGGCTAGGATTGTTGTGAGGATTTAAGAAGCTATAAAGTAACCAGCACACAGTAGGTGTTCAGCAACTTAGAGATCACGTCTCAAACTACTTCACAGCATGTGGGTGGCCCATAAGAAGTGACTGAAACCTCCGAAATGGTCTTTCCCCTTCAGAGCACTCTGCTATTTGGTCCTGAAGCAGTACAAGGAAGCAGTGAAGGACTGCACAGAAGCCCTCAAGCTGGATGGAAAGAACGTGAAGGCGTTCTACAGACGGGCTCAAGCACACAAGGCACTAAAGGTAAGAAAAAATCCTGGCCAAAAGGTCTCAACATAGCTACAGAGATTTATGTCAGTGGCGGCTTTTATGGGGTATAGCCAAGCTGAGGCAATATCTGCAGCTTTTCTGTCTCATCCTGGGCCCAGGTTAACTCAGGGCAGGCCTATCTGTGGGCTGGGGTTTGAGAACACTTTGCTACCTCAGCAGCTATTCCCACCCCAGTTGGGGAACCTTCCCCACACTCCTGTCCTTGATTTTATTAGGACTATAAATCAAGCTTTGCAGACATCAGCAACCTCCTACAGATCGAGCCTAGGAACGGTCCTGCACAGAAGTTACGGCAGGAAGTGAAGCAGAGCCTACACTAAAAACCCAGCAAGGCAGCCGGAAACTCCTGCCTGACCTTACCAGAGAAGCCGCGGGCCACCTGCTCTGTGCCCGTGCCTGAAACCCAGCATGCCCCAAGTGAGCTCTGAAGCCCCCTCCTTAGTCCCTTGATGGCCTCCCACCCCAGAAGAGGCTTTGCTTGTTCAAATTAAGCTCAGTGTAGTCATACACAGACATCGTTGTTTCGCCAGAAAAGTCCCCACTAGAGCTAAGCGTGAAGCTGAAGCCCTGTCCCCATTCCCCCCAGCTCAGCTAGCTGATCACACCAACAAATCCTCATCAGCAACGCATTTGGCTTTGTCCTGCCCAAGCGTGCTTCAGACTGAGTGTGGCCCATGTAGTTTCCCCAGACCCCACCTCACTGCAGTTAATCTGAACAGCCTGAGCTTCTGGGCAGGGGTGGGAGGGGGTTGGGGGAGGGTGATAAACCTAAGGCCCTGACACAAAGCAGTCTGTTGAGCTGGTTCTCCAGGGCTGCAGTCTCTCCAGGTGTGCAGCTGCTGTCCCTGTCCTGTCCTTGCACAGTCTCCTGTGTCTGAGCCCCAGTGCCTTTTGTTCCGGCCATCCTTTGGTGGGAAGGCAGAGCCCTGACCCCTGGATGTCTGTCCATGCCTCCGTGCTGCTGCCTTCTGCAGAGAGGCACCTAAGCTGTTTTAAGAGCCCAGTGATTGTGGCCACTCCTCTTAGAGGTGGGATGGAGAGAGAGGCCTCCTTGGTCAGTGTCCATGCTTTCTGGGTAGGGACTTGGCTTTTTGTTCCAACAGTGGCCTTCTCCAGGCCTCATAGTTCTTTGTAATATGTTGAAGTTAATTTGAACTGACTGATTTTGTTGAACTGTGTGTTTAAGCTGTTGTATTAAAAGGCTTTCTTCTACATAAATGTCTGCTGTGCTTTCATTTCTGCCTTTTCAGCTTTGCACCTGGAACTTTGTAGTAATAATAAAAGCTATTGCTTACTGGGCATTCATTCATTTGTTGAACATATGTATTGAAACGTCTGGATGGACCAGGCACTGCAAATAGTGCTAGGGAGACAGCAGTGAATAGACATAGTCCCTGCTCTCAGAGGGCTGGCAGCCTAGTGGGAGGGCAAGAAGTTATTCAGACAACCACACACATGTAAAATTGCAGCTTGCCTAAGTGTTGTGAAGTGGTTTTCAGTGATTTCCCTTCCCAAAAGGGGAAATTCAATGCAGTGGAGGGAAGGGGGTCCCTGAGTAAGTAAAGCCTGAATTGAGTTCCAAACGGGGATGTTAACTAGTGAAGGGGGAAGAGAAAAGCATCGTGGACAGACGGCATGTGTAAGGCCCTCGCTGGGAGCACAGCCAGTGAGTACAGGGACCTAAAAGGGCCGATCAAGTTCACAAAACATGGGATGCAGTGAGGCTGGAGAGTGCTTTAGGACCTAGCCAGAATCAAGTGCTGCCCTGTTTTCCTGGGCTGGTTTTCAGCCTATAGAAGTGGAGTTTCAGGATTCCATAGAGCAGAGCAAAGGGTTTTTTGATCATCCCTTGGCTCCCATCACATAGCGCTAAGCATCACTTAGCACAGCACCTCGGAGCTCTCTTAAGGATGAGTGTCGTCTGAGCCATCAGAAACATCCAGGCTGAAGCAGAGTTTAGAGTCAGACAAACCCCATGGGCACCATCAAGGGACAGTTTCAAAGTGGGGAACTGTACCCCTTTTATTGCCTCATAAGCAGGCAGGACTGATATGAGTCAGGTTTCGTGACATCCACTCACAACTGATTTATATTGTTCTGAGTGCTAGAAGGCAAGCAACTTGATGTGCTAGTAAAGACACAGGGTAGGGCTGGCACAACCCGAAAAGGCTACTTGTTTTGTACTTCAGAAATTTCTGATGAACACAACATGATAAGCTTCCTCATCCCCATCACTCATCTTTGAAACTTACTGTCAGTGTTCCAGAGAGGCTTTGAAGAATAAAACTTCTGTTTCTCATAGATTAGTTTCTAGGAAAGGGACACACAGCTATCAATGTGTCTTAACAGTTGTGATGGAATTCTTCCCCACTCCCAGAGAAGGTAAAACACCGTTACGTGGGAGTGACAGGGCAGAGTCCTACTTGGGAGCAGATCATGCAGGGTCTCCTAGGCTATGTAAAGTGGTCCTTATTCTAATGATGGGAAGCTACTGCAGGATTTATGCAAGGATGAGACATTAGAGAGGCATTTTGAAAAAAAGCCTTAAAACTGCATGGTGGAGGCCAGATTGCAGGAGGGCGAGGGTAGGTGCAGTTAACCAGTGGAAGGCAAGGCAGTGAGAGCAGGGGTTGAGCTTAGCTCGAGCTAGTGGATTTATTCCACTAGGTAGTGGGAGTGGATTTGGATTTGGTAGGAGGTAATGTTGATGAATTTTCTATGAAAGGGAGGAGAGAAAGTGTGTGGCAGCAGGGTTGGGGAAACCGTCCAATTCTGGCTTTTGTAACAGAATGGTGGGGCCATTTATGGAGACAGAACACTAGAAGAGAGAATCAGAATAAGGCCGGGCATGGTGGCTCACCAACGCTTTGGGAGGCCGAGGCAGGTGGATCACCTGAGGTCAGGAGTTTGAGATCAGCCTGACCAATATGATAAAACTTCATCTCTACTAAAAGTACAAAAATTAACCAGGCGTGGTGGCATACACCTGTAGTCCCAGCTAGAGACAGAATTGTTTGAACCCAGGAGGCGGAGGTTGCAGTGAGCAGAGGTTGCACCGCTGCACTCCAGCCTGGGTGACAGAGCAAGACTCCATCTCAAAAAAAAAAAAAAAAAAAAAAAAAAAGAATGAGAAGGAAGGAGAACTTAGTTAAATCATGAACTTGATTTTAGACATGTTACTGAGATAATCAGGAGCTGATGGCAGGTAGGCTGTGGAATGTGAGAGAGGTGACTCAGATACTCAAGAGTTGACTGGACTGAAGAAAAAAACGGGGAGTCATGCTAGACTGGGTGCAAATTGAAGATGTGTTTGAAAATTAGATAGCTCAGGAGAGCATGGCATGAGGAAAGGAGGGGGCCCAGGACTGAGACTAAGGAAATGCCAGCAGTCAGCATTTGGGGAGAAGACGATGGATCTGCAGAGGGAGCAGATTAGAAGCAGCCAGAGAAGTGGACAGGGTGTGGCGAAGACAGGTTGGAGGTTTGTGGAGTGGAAAACAGGAAGAGTGAGGAGCTGAGAGTGGCAAAGCAGCGCCTTGAGGACTCAGTCAAATTTGTTGCTGGTGAATTTTTAGCAGAACCCAATCTATTTGGGTCATAGTGGCCACTTTCATTTGGCTGTTCAGGTGTAAGAGAGAGCAAAGACCTGGACTGTACATCCCTAATGGGAGGTGAGCACTAACTGTCCCGAAGAAGCTTTTAAAGAGACTTCCCCATTACCTGTAGGGGAGGACAATCCTAACCTGGTAAGGTACCTTAAAGTGTTCCTACAAGAGTTCTTTAATTATGTTACGCAACCCCTTAGCCAACCTGGAGCTGAGAAGCAACTGGGTGTTTGCCCTGCAGGGTGCTCAAACCAGGGACTCCGTGCACATCAGATGGGGGCCCCTGTAGCTCTGGTCTGTTGTGTGATACTGATGTTGTTATCCATTGTACCATTGATGGATCAGCTCCTGACACACTTCCTGCTCTTGTGTATATACCATCTGTGTACTTCAGCACTCCTTTGGGTTTCTGTTTCTTTTTGAGATGGAGTTTCATTCGTGTTGCCCAGGCTAGAGTGCAATGGCACAATCTCAGCTCACTACAACCTCCGCCTCCCAGGTTCAAGCGATTCTCCTGCCTCAGCTTCCCAAGTAGCTGGGATTACAGGCATGGACCACCACATCCGGCTAATTTTTTGTATTTTTGGTAGAGATGGGGTTTCTCCACGTTGGTCAGCATGGTCTTGAACTCCCAATCTCAGGTGATCTGCCCACCTCAGCCTCCCAAAGTGCTGAGATTATAGGCGTGAGCCACTGCGCCCGCCTGGGTTTTTATTTCTTGTAGCCAGAGCCCCAACCCAGTCATGTCTACCCTTTGCTCTGTCCCCACCTCCTTCAGACACAAAAGGGCCTCCTGGGAGGCAAGGCAGATTTTGCAGCACTTTTAATACACAAAGCAAAAGGCAATAGGCTGGATGGATGACCAACCTTCATTTGCATACAGGGCCCAAGTATTGATACCACTAATTGGGAAATAAGTTAGAGTTTGCAGGGCCTTAGGGCTGAGAGCCAGAAACACTGTCCTTCTGGCAGCCATGGAAGCGAGGATTTCCTTTTCTGAGGATAAAAAGGTAAAAATAAGGGTTTTTAAAGTATGGCAGACACCCGGTCTTCAATAAAGAAGGTGGTTTCAACCCAGCCAGGCCTTTAGGAAGGCAGAATGGAGCCAGGCAGGGCCCCAGGAAAGCCCAACCTATGCTGCATGAAGCCAGTCAGGGCAGCTGGCGAGAGGGTACCTCCTTCACCCTGCACTGTCATCTCCACCCCCCATTCCGATCACAGTTAATCATCTCCTCTGATTCTCACAACTTCCTCCAGACTCCCTGGTACTTCAGAGAAAGCCAGGGACACAGCACGATTCTCTGTGTGTTTGTGAAAGTCAGTCCCTGCCTAGTTCCTTACAGCTTCTCCCAGGCCCAGCTGTTCCTGTCATCATTCCACCCACCTGGTTTCAATGCATGAACGCCTTCGGCTGCTCCACAGCCTGGTGTGCCTGCAGCACGGCCACTGCCTCGTCTATCTGTGGGACAGGAGTGGGAGGGGCTTAGTGCAGCTGTCCCCGCAGGTCCCAGAAGAGTCTTGACCTCCCCCTGGCTCAGCATCCTGGACACAGGATCCTCCTCCATCCACAGTGTTTCTGTGGAAACTCCACCTCTACTTGCAAGATTCCACAGCCCTGTCACCTTTGACACAGGTACACTGCTTGACAGCTGGAAAAATCCTAACCCTTACACTCAGTCAGAACACACTTCCTTGTACCAAAACCCTACCTACGGAACAACACAGAATTAGTCCATGGAGGGGCTGAAGTAGCAAACCCTTACCTAAGGCCCCCTCCACTCTAAAATTCAGCAGGCCTTCAAATATCAGCAAGAACACTTTATCTGGCCAAACAGCTGTCCACTAGCTCCGTTAGAAGAGCCCTTGTCCTTAGCGTTCCTCCCGGCCCCTCAGGCTCCCTGCTACCCAGGCTGGCTCCTGCTTACCTTGGCATGGAGGGACTCTGGAGACTCCAGCATGAGCAGCAGCTCCGAGTTGTCAATCTCCAGCAGCATGCCCGTGATCTTGCCGGCCAGCTGGGTGTGGACATCATGGATGAGGGGGTAGAGCCGCTCCCCTGTGTGGAACACCCTCTAATGGCTCCTGCACCTGCCTGGCTCACACCCCAGCATCCCAGGGCTGGTATGGAGTGCAGCATTGAGGACATCTGGGTTCTTCTCCCAGAACTGCTCCTCCTAGACTGTGACGTTTAACACCTGATCTTCTAACATTAGGTATTTCTAATGACAGGGCTTGCTTGGTATTGGTGGTCAGCCCATCTCAGCAATGTGTGCAGGGCCCAGCCAGGATGGGGTGCCTTAAGTGGGGGCGGAAGGGGTCTTCCATGAAGAAAGTGAAGATGTTTACTTTCTACTACTAACAAACTATTACTAACTACTACTAACAAAGCCTTCTACTTCCATTAAGCTCATTTAAAATTTTTCCAGGTGAGGCCAGGCGCAGGTCATGCCCGTAATCACAGTACTTTGGGAGGCTGAGGCAGGCAGATCACCTGAAGTCAGGAGTTTGAGACCAGCCTGGACAACATGGTGAAACCCCATCTCTACTAAAAATACAAAAATTAGCCAGGCATGGTGGCAGGTGCCTGTAATCCCAGCTATTCGGGAGGCTGAGGCGGGAGAATCACTTGAACCCAGGAGGTGGAGGTTGCAGCGAACCAAGATCATGCCACTGCACCCCAGCCTTGATGACAGAGCAATACTCCAGACAAAAACGGAAAAAGAAATTCGGGGTGAGGGCAAAGAGTAACGTGGCAAAATCCTAAGTAAGCTGAGGAAACAGTGGAGCAGTGGTAATGGGGGCCTGCAGTGAAGGGTCTGCTGGTGGCCATGCACTGAAGAACCTGCCAACCAGGAACAAGCTTGTGTCCACTTAGTGGCATTTTTATCAGGGCCTGCCATGGACACTAGGGATGGAGATGAATTGCACAAGGAATCCAGGATCTATGAGGAACATGTATTGACACAGATTCCCACCTCCCTGCAGTGGGCACTAGGATACTGGTGAATGACAGTTTCTTCCCATTCACCTACCTATGGGCCATTTCTCAGCAGAAATCCAAGACCATACCCCTACTCCTCCATTCTGGGCCCTGATCTCCCCACATCTGGAGTGTCTCCCAGCATCAAAGTCATAGGAGAGCAGAGCTGGAAGAAACCTCAGGACCATCCAGTCTGACCAGGGTTTTAAGATAAGAGAATAGGGGCAGCGCCAGACACGGTGGCTCACGCCTGTAATCCCAGCACTTTAGGAGGCAGAGGCGGGCGGATCACGAGGTCAGGAGTTTGAGACCAACCTGGCCAACAGGTGAAACCCCATCTCTACTAAAAATACAAATATTAGCCAGACGTGGTGGCATATGCCTGTAGTCCCAACTACTCAGGAAGCTGAGACAGAAGAATCGCTTGAACCCGGGAGGCGGAGGTTTCAGTAAGCCAAGATCCTGCCACGGCTCTCTAGCCTGGCGACAGAGCAAGACTCCATCTCAAAAAAAAAAAAAAAAGAATAGAGGCAGGTTGGCCATGGTCACTCAGTAGGTGGGTCAGTGACAAACCTGGACTTTGATCTCACATTGGACCTCCACTCAGGGTGTTTCCCAGCAGACTAGCCAGCTCACAGCTCTCCTCTTCTTGCTCCAGAGTAGGAGAACCAGCCACTCACCAATCATCTGCTTTTGCTCATGCAGGGGTGCCGCAGCCAGCATGGACGCAGTCAGGGGCTCATGTCCGGGGATGTGCACAGCCGGCTCCTGGACCTGCATGGTGCCAGGGACACATCCCTTACTCACCACGGACAGACCTGTCTTCAAAACACTTACCCTGGCAAGTGAACACAAGGCCAGGGAGGCACTGGAGGAGGGGAACAGCGGGCAGGGTCAGGATGATCAAGTGGGGTGGAGAGTCCCCAACAAGGGCAAGGTGGATTAGAAGACAAAGTCATGCCTCTAGCTTAGATGTTTCCTGTACTGCTATGAACTTATAAAGGTCCCTGATGTATAATGATAAATGAAAGCCCTGTGTTACCAATAACTTTGTGCCAAATAAAGCCCTTATTATCATGTAGCTTTATGGACACGTCCCCAGCACACTTCTTACCCTTTTGCATCATGGTAATTTTAAAGCATTTTTGGCCAGGTGCAGTGGCTCACACCTATAATCCTAGAACTTTGGAAAACCAGAGTGGGAGGATTGCCTGAGGCCAGGAGTTTGAGATCAGCCTTGGCAACATAATGAGACCCCTGTCTCTATAAAAATACACAAAATTAGCCAGACATAGTGTCACCCGCCTGTACTTGGAGGCTGAGGCAGCAGGATCACTTGAGCCTAGGAGTTTGAGGCTGCAGTGAGCTTTGATCATACCACTGCACTCTAACCTGGGTGACAGAGTGAGACCCTGTCGAAAAACAAAAGGCATTTTTGCTGTTTAAAGACTTTTTTTTTTTTTTTTTTTTTAAGACGGAGTCTCACCCTGTCACCAGGCTAGCGTGCAGTGGCATGATCTTGGCTCACTAAAACCTCCGCTTCCCAGCTTCAAGCAATTCTCCTGCCTTAGCCTCCCGAGTAGCCAGGACTATAGGTAGCGCCACCACCCCCAGCTAATATTTGTATTTTTAGTAGAGACGGAGTTTCAGTATGTTGGCCAGGATGGTCTCAATCTCTTGACCTTGTGATCTGCCTGACTCAGCCTCCCAAAGTGCTGTGATTACAGGCATGAGCCTCATTCATTCTGCAAGAAATAGTTCAAATTAGACACACTGCAGTTCTACACAGGATATGATAATACTGAATTTTAGACCTTTTTCAGGGCAGGGAGATAAATACAGTCTTTGGTTATAGGTATTTTCTGTTTTGAAGATTAAGCACATCCTTCCTATATTCTTAGAATACCTATCCTTGCTGTTCATCACAAATACTAAGGAAATCCAAATTAATTTTGGTAATAACCGAGGCAAAACAAATTGTAAATAAAACGTGTTGCTGGCCCTCTTTCCCCTTCTCTCAGTAAGAGTGATCTCTTGATTGTACACATTAATAAATGAAACTTTGCAAGCCAAGAAAAGAAAAACAGCCAAGGCCCAACACTTTAGCCAAAGTTCTGAGCCAGGCGTCTGGGAGCCCAGGCTAACGGCAGGCAGCTGGGCCGGCCTTACCTGATCGGTGCTGTGTGCTGCTGAGGGACACTTGTACGGCAGGAGAGGCCGGCCTGGCGTGCAGCATCCTACCCCACTGGGTCCTGTGGTCTGAGTACCAATGTTGGCTGCAAAAAAACATAAGCAGAATTCAAATAGCTGCTATCCAAAAACAAAACAAAACAAAACCAAAACAGAAAATAACAAGCGTCGACAAGAATGTAAAGAAATTAGAACAATGCACTGTCGTAGGAATGTAAAACCACATACCCACTACAGAAAAACAGTATAGGATTTCCTCAAAAAATTAAGCAGAATTACCATATCATCCAGCAATTTTACCTCTAGGTACACACCCAAAAGACTTGAAAGCATGGTTTCAAAGAGATATTTGTACAACCATTTTCTTTTTGTTTTCTGATACGGAGTCTGACTCTGTCACCCAGGCTGTAGTGCAGCGGTGCGATCTCAGCTCACTGCTACCCCTGCCTCCTGAGTCCAAGCAATTCTCCTGCCTCAGCCTACCAAGTAGCTGGGATTACAGGCACGCACCACCATGTCTGGCTAATTTTTGTATTTTTAGTAGAGACAGGGTTTCACCATGTTGGCCAGGCTGGTCTCAAACTCCTGACCTCATGACCTGCCCGCCTCGCTCCCAAGTGCTGGGATTACAGGCATGAGCCACAATGCCCAACCTGTACAACCATTTTCATAGCAGCATTATTCACAAACGCCCAAAGGGTAGAAGCAATCCAAATGTCCATTGATAGATGAATAAGTAAAAATGACATCTATACATACAAGGGAATACTTTTCAGCCTTAATAAGGAGATCCTGACACGCTACAACATGGATATATCTTGTTACATGTGAAATTAAAAAAAAAAAAAGCCAGCTACAAAAAGACAAATACTCTATGATTCCACTTTCCTGAGGTACCAAGAATAGTCAAATTTACAGAGACAAGTCAAATGGCAATTGTCAAGGGCTAGCAGAAGGAGGAATGAGAAGTTATGGTTTAACAGGTACAGAATTTCAGCTCTGCAAGATGAACAGTTCTGGAGAGTGGACAGTGGTGACACTAAATAACAGTGTGGATATACTTAATGCCATTGACCTGTACATTGAAAAATAGTTAAGTGGTAAATTTTGTTATATGAATTTTACCATGATAAGAAGAAAAAAGAAAGAAAGAAGCAGGGGTGTCAGGGTCTGCAGGAACCTATGGCCCGGGACTGAGTATGCCTCATTCATGCAGAACCTCCAGTGCTGAGCTTGGGGCCAGCACACTGTGGATGTGAGAACTTTTGCAGAATGAAGGAACAGATGTGCATGCTGTACAGCCAAAATCTACACCCTTGTTTATGGTTGCTGTGATATTTACCAGGCTTCAGGCCCAGTGCTAAGCCCTTGCATGCGCGATCTCATTAATCCTCAACAACAAGCCGGGTGTGGTGACTCACGCCTGTAATCCCAGCACTTTGATGGGAGTCCGAGGTGGGTGGATCACCTGAGGTCAGGGGTTCGAGACCAGCCTGGCCAACATGATGAAACCCTGTCTCTACTGAAAATACAAAAATTAGCTAGGTGTGGTGGTGCACACCTGTAGTCCCAGCTACTCGGGAGGCTAAGGCAGGAGAATCGCTTCGAACCCAGGAGGCGGAGGTTGCAGTGAACCAAGATCACACCATTACACTCCATCGTGGGCAACTCGGTCTCAAAAAAAAAAATTAAAAACATTTTTTTAAAAATCCTCAACAACAAAATAGGAGTACTATTTTTGTCCCCATTTTAAAGATTAGGTGATCGTATACAGTGGTTCAGCAAAGGGCCACAGAGTGAGTTGGCCCCAGGGACTGGAGGCCAAGCTAACTACCATGCTACAGACAGTCTGCAAAGTCGGCCCTGCCCACCGAGAGGGTGTAAGGCAAGGGCACCATGACGGTTGGTCCTGACTCCCAGTGCCAACCCTGCCCCACCTCCATTCCCCTTGGCCCTACCCACACTCACCTACTCTCTGGGTGTGGGGCACCGTGCGTGGCACCTGGGTGGAGGCCTGCCTGACACCGCTGATGTGGGCTGGGGGGCACCGAGGCATCACTGGGGGCCGAACCATCGAGGCACCTGGAGGGTAGGCAGCTTGTGGCGCAGACACCACAGAGAGAGAAAAATTAGATGGAGTCGGGGTAATCATCAGGGTGGCACGCTGTGCCTGGAAGCTTCCAGGGCCACCAAAAGAATGGGAAGGGAAACTAGAATGTTAACGACAGAAATAGGAGTCAATTCACCTAGACCCAGAACTCCAGGAAAAGGGTTGTAGAAATATGCAATTTCAAAGCCAGCTCATGTCTACCCAGAGCCCCCAAATGCATAAGTACCATGATCAGACACCTTAGTCCCTTCAAGACAGTTTCAAGTGAGTGTGCATTTCACTCTTATAGTGGAGGGCCTTTGGTCAACAAGATAGCCAGAGGAATTTCATTTTCTCAGCTTTGCAAGAATTTTCAGAGTCACAAATCAGAGGAGTCTGGCGATGACTGCTAGTGGCTAACTGTTGTGTCTTTCATTGGCTCGTGCCGGTGCTTGGTACTTTACACACATCTCATTCAGGCCCATGCTCAGAAGAGGAAACTGAGATTCGGAAAAGTGAAGTCACCCACCCTGGAAAGTGGCAGAGCCAGGTTTCTTCCCTGTGTTATGACTGCCTCACAGGGCCCATGCCAATGGGCCAGTCTGAGAAAGGAAGGGGCTGGGTCACTCACAGGAAGGTCTAGGTGGCTGGGACGTCCACCTGGGGGCAGGCTGGGTGGGTGTCACTGGGCCACAGCCATAGTACGAAGCCGGGGCTGGAGGCTGCATGGGAGAAGAAGACCCAGGATGAGGGGCTTGGCGGCAGGGTCAGTGAGAAGCAATACCTCCTCAGGGACACCCTGGCAGGAACACCACTGGCCCCTGCAGCAGACTGGTGAGTAAAGACCTACAGGGCTGGAATGAAAGCTCCCTCCTCCCATCTCAGGATATCCATTAGCCCTGAATCCTTCAGGGCAAAGATCTTAGATTTCAATCTTGGCTCCTTGTCAGCTAGCCCAATGACCTGGATAAAAAGGGTGACATCTTACTCCAACTTGTGCCAGCTTGAGCAACTGCTAAACGGAGAGGAATGTTCTCACCCTGGTGGCCATTAATGGCTGACATCTTTCTCCTTCCTCTAAGCTCCACAAGGTCCTTTCCCAAACCATGCTCCTCAGAACATTAACATCCAGGGAAGATGTTAACAGGCATCCCACAAAAAATGACCATCTAAGCTGGGGAAATGCTATATAATCTGTGCCTGTTTTGGAGAGTCACAGATATTGGCATATTAGGGTAGAATAATGTAGATAGTAAAGAAACCTAGGGCCAGGCATGGTGGCTCATGCCTGTAATCCCAGCACTTTGGGAGGCCGAGGAGGGCAGATCACTTGAGGTCAGGAGTTCAAGTCCAGCCTGGCCAACATGGTAAAACTCCATCTCTACTAAAAATACAAAAAATTAGATGAGTATGGTGGCACACGCTTGTAATCCCAGCTACTCAGGAGGCTGAGGCATGCGAATCGCTTGAACCCAGAAGGTGGAGGTTGCAGTGAACTGAGATGGCATCACAGCACTCCATTCTGGGCAACAGAGCAAGCAAGACTGTCTCCAAAACAAAAAAAAAATTAATTTAATTTAAAAATATATGTAGGGCAGGGCACACGGTGGCTCATTCCTGTAATGCCAGGACTTTGAGAGGCCAAGGCAAGAGGACTGCTTGAGCCCAGGAGTTTGAGACCAGCCTGGGCAACATGGTGAGGCACCCTTCTTTAAAATAAACAAACAAAAAAAAAATTAGCTGGGCATAACGGCATGTACCTATAGTCCCAGCTACTCAGGAGGCTGAAGTGGGAGGATCACTCAAGCCCAGGAATTCAAGGTTACAGAGAGCCATGATCACACCGTTGCTCTCCAGCCTGGGTGACACTGAGACCCTGCCTTAAAAAAAAATAGAAAAGAAAAGAAAATGTAGGTTTAATTTGCTTAATGCATCATTTCCCAAGCTTACTACATCATTGAGAGTCTTTTTTAGCACAACATTCACGAGCTTCTTCAGACTGGAAAATGCCATTTGACTAACACTACGTCTCCCTTTTATGGAGGGGGAAATGAACTCGGCAGAAGCAAGCTGGGAACTCTAGTCTTCACGCTCTGCCTGGCTGTGGCAGCAGGAAGGCTGTGGTGGGAGCTGTGGGCAGGCGGTCACCTGGGGCACGGCAGGCAGGAAGTAGCTGGAGGGCTGCTGAAAGGAGCCCAAGAGGGGGTTGCTCAGGGTCCGCATGGTGGAGAGGCGCTGCATGTACTGGTTGGTCAAGATGGCCTTCCGCTCCTCTTTGCGCTGGGCCAGTGCCACGTAGAGTGGCTTGGTGCCCACGAGGCGCCCGTTCATCTCTGTCACGGCCTTTGTCGCCTCTTCTGGGGAGGAAAAACACACAAAGCCAAACCCCTTGCTGTGGCTACCCTCTGTCATCACCTAAAAGCAAGACAAGACAAGAGCTGCTGGGGTGGGGAAGGAAGGCTCCTGGGGCTGCACTGCCTCCCTCCTCCCCAGGGGCCAAGCCCAGCACCCAGCACTGGGCAGGCCCGAGAGAAAGCTGTGACTGAGAGCTGTAGCATGCACCCCTGTTTACTGAGCGGGGATGGCGGGATATAGCGTGTACCCCCATTTATTGAGCTGTGATAGAGGAAAGTAGTGTGCACCACCATTTACGGAGCTGTGTTCGAGGGATGCAGCGTGCACCCCCGTTTACTGAGCGGTAATGAAGGGATGCAGCGTGCACCCCCATTTACTGAGCGGTGATGAAGGGATGCAGCATGCACCCCCGTTTACTGAGCGGTGATGCAGGGATGCAGCGTGCACCCTGTTTACTGAGCGGTGATGAAGGGATGCAGTGTGCATCCCGTTTACTGAGCAGTGATGGAGGGATGCAGCGTGCACCCCCGTTTACTGAGCGGTGATGGAGGGATGTAGCATGCATCCCCATCTACTGAGGCCTGCTGCATGCCAGATACTTTACGTGTCTTCACATCTCACATGTACAACCCCCCTGATGCAGGAGGCATCACAGCTCCTGCTTTGCAGCTGGGATAAGAGAGATTCTAAAGAATTACTTGTCCAGAGTCACTCAGCCAGTGGTTCATACATCAGCCAGGACTCACCCCAACACACTGTTCTGGTAAGCTTCTATTGATTGCCTCTGCTAAGTAAGCCAAGTTCTTTAAGAATTTGGGAAAGAGGTTCTTAGCCTTTTTGTTAAAATAACCTTTTTATTTTGGAGTAACTTTAGATTTACAGAAAAAGTTACAAAAATATTACAGAGGGTTGCTGTCTTTTTTGTTTGTTTTTTGAGATGGAGTCTCACTCTGTCACCCAGGCTGGAGTGCAATGGTGCGATCTTGGCTAACTGCGACCTCAGTCTCCCGGGTTCAAACGATTCTCCTGCCTCAGCCTCCTGGGTAGATGGGACTACAGGCGTGTGTCACCACACCCAGCTAATTTTTGTATTTTTAGTAGACACAGGGTTTCACCATGTTGGCCAGGCTGGTCTTAACTCTCGACCTCAAATGATCCACCAGCCTCAGCCACCCAAAGTGCTGGGATTACAGGTGTGAGCCACTGGGCCTGACCTGCTGTATATCTTTTACCCAGCTTCCTCCAATGTGAACATGGTACATTTTTTTAAAATGACAACATTAACACTGGTGCAATGCTATTAACTATTATACTATTAGCTCCTATTAGCTGCAATGCTATTAACTGAACTCCAGACTTCATTGGAATTTCACTCTTTTTTCCTCTAATATTAATTTTCTCTTCCACGATCCAACCCACATGGCATTTAGAGTTTGTGACTTTTTTTTTTTTTTTCTTTTAAAGAGATGGAGTCTCACTCTGTCATCCAGGCTGGAGTGGAGTGGTATGATCATAGCTCACTGCAGCCTCAAACTCCTGGTCTCAAGGGATCCTCCTGCCTCAGCCTCCCAAGTAGTTAGGGCTATAGGTACATGCCACCACACCCAGCTAATTTTTTTTTTTTTTTTTTGAGTTTGTAGAGATCAGCTCTCACTATGTTGCCCAGGATAGTCTCAAGAGATCCTCCTGCCTAGGTCTCCCAAGGTGCAGAGATTATAGGCAGAAGCCACTACACCTGGCCCTGAGTTTTTAACCTTTTTTAGGGTCAAGACACTGGCCTGGCTCACACATACCATAAAAATTAGAGTTATTTTTAAAATCTGCATTACTAGAGCCTATGCTCTTCCCCCCCGACCCTTTTTTTTTTTTTTTTTTGAGCTAAGATCTCACTCTGTCACTCAGGCTGGAGTGCAGTGGTGCAATCTCAGCTCGCTGTATCCTTGACCTCCCGGGCTCAAGTGATCCTCTTACCTCAGTCTCCCAAGTAGCTGGGACTACAAGCACACACCACCATGCCTAATTACTTTTGTTTTTTGTAAAGGTGAGGTCTCATCCTATTGCCCAGGCTGGGCTTGAACTCCTGGAGATCCCATGCTCTTAATCAGTAATTTTCAGACTGCTATCCTTCAGTACAGGGGTCTTCATCTGAGAGTCCACAGATCCCCCTCAGGGAGGCCAAAGATACAATTTAGGGGGTCTGTGAACCTGGATTGGGGAAAAGTAACATCTTTATTTTCACATTAGCATTTCCTTCTATTATGAATATGGGCAACTACAAAAAATCCTAGCAGTATGAGTCATGCCTATGACTTTGTCATGAAGAAAAAGAAAATATTTTCATATTATATTAATTATTGCTAATCTCAGCCAGGTGTGGTGGCTCACGCCTATAATCCCAGCACTTTGGGAGGCTGAGGTGGGCAGATCACCAGAAGTCAGGAGTTCAAGACCAGCCTGGCCAACATGGTGAAACCCCATCTCTACTAAAAATATGCAAAAATCAGCTGGGAGTGGTGGTGGGCTCCTATAATCTCAGCTACTCAGGAGGTTGAGGCAGAACCCGGGTTCTTGAACCTGGGAGGCAGAGGTTGTAGTGAGTCAAGATCACACCACTGCACTCCAGCCTGGGTGACAGAGCAGGACTTCATCTCAAAAAAAGATAAAAATAAAAATAAAAAAATAAAAGCACATACCGCTGTCGCTTTAATATTTTCACCATTACATATTTTTCAATATAATTTTTTTTGTAATTTACTTTCTATCAATTCGTCATGTGAGGACAAATTTATGCATTTAAAAATATTCTTAGACCCAGGTTTGGTGGCTCATTCCTATTTTTGGGAAGCTGAAGTGGAAGAATTACTTGAGCCCAGGAATTTGAGACCAGCCTGGGCAATACAAAAAATTAGCCAGGCATTCTGGAGCTCCAATAGTCTCAGCTACTTGGGAGGCTGAGGCAGGAGGACTGCTTGATGCCAGGAGTTGGAGGCTGCAGTAAGTTGTGATGGTACCACTGCATTCCAGCCTGGGCAACAGAGCGAGACCCTGTCTCAAAAAGGGTTTTTAAAAAATATTCTTAGAAGGGGTCCACAGGCTTCATCAAACAGCCAAAGGGCCAGGTGTGGTGGCTCATGCCTATAATCCCAGCACTTTGGGAGGCCGATTTGGGTGGATCACCTGAGATCAGGAGTTCAAGACCAGCCTGACCAACACAGTAAAATGCCATCTCTACTAAAAATACAAAAAATTAGCTGGGTGTGGTGGCAGGCACCTGTAATCCCAGCTACTCAAGAGGCTGAAGCAGGAGAATCTCTTAAACCCAGGAGGTGGAGGCTGCAGTGAGTCAAGATCACACCATTGCACTCCAGCCTGAGCAAGAGTGAAACTCTGTCTCAAAAAAAAAAAAAAATATATATATATATATAGTTAAGAATTTCTGGTAGTAAGTAGTTAATAATGATAAAATTTAGCAAAGCTAACACTTATGCAGAGCTTACCATGAACTTGACAGTGGTATAAGTATTTATATCCATTAATCCCTTTAATTTTTATAATCTTTTTTATATAAAACAAAATATAGTCCAGATGCAGCGGCTCATGCCTATAATCCCAGTACTTTGGGAGACTGAGGTGGGAGGACTGCTTGAGCTCAGGAGTTTGAGACAAGCCTGGGTAACATAGCGAGACCCCATCTCTATCAAAAATTGTTTTTAAAAAATCAGCTGGGCGTGTGGAACACACCCGTGGTCCCAGCTACTTGGGAGGCTCAGGTGAGAGGATCACTTGAGCCCAGGAAGTTGCAACATGCCATGATCACACCACTGCACTCCAGCCTGGGCAAAAGAAAAAGTACCTGTCTCTAATAAAAAATAATAACAAACCAAAATATATAAAATTTTATAAGACAGGATGGGCATAGTGGCTCATGCTTGTAATTTCAGTGCTTTAGGAGGCCAAGGAAGGCAGATCACCTAGGCCAGGGATTCAAGACCAGCCTGAACAACATAGTGAAACCCTGCTGAAACTCTACTAAAACTACAAAAATTAGCTGGGCTTAGAGCTACCTTAGGTAATCCCAGCTACTTGGGAGGCTGAGGAAGGAGAATTGCTTGAACCCAGGAAGGAGAGGTTGCAGTGAGCCAAGATCTCGCCACTGCACTCCAGCCTGAGTGACAAGAGGGAAATTGTCTCAAAAAAAAAAAAAAAGATATATACAATTTTTGGGCCTGTTAAAAAGATGGTCACCCTAGGTATGCCTTAACCCTAAGGAGTCCAAATTTACACATTTCCTTTGTTCCAGAAGTACTCAAGAAGTCCATCTCCTGAAACTGTATATAAGGTGTGTGATGAATAATTACAACAGTCACTATCAAACTACTTATTGAAGCAGATGCTGTACATGAAGCCTCTTTAGTAGTTCTCAGGACACCTCGAGAGGTGAGCAGTGTTGCTCCCATTTTATAGGTGGGTAAACAATGTCCAAAAAGCAAAGCCACTGGCCTCAGATTCTAGAGCTAGGTAATGGTAGGACTGGGGTTTACATTCAGGTCTGATTCACTTGAAAATCCCAGCTTTCAACCATGTTATTATATCAAATGTGTATGCATTTGTTGGGAAAGAGGATCGATAGCTTTTGATGATGTTTAATCAAATTTACTGATGGCTAATTTACATGTGCCACAGGCTTCTCTCACATTTTTCAAAAGGCCCTTAACCTAAAAGACAATGTTTTTTTCCTCCAAACACAAGGCTCCCTGAAGGATGTTTAAACTGGATTCAGTACCCAAAAGAGAACTTCTGGACCATTCCCTCAGAACCAATCATCCCATCATTCAGGCAGGTCCCCCACCCTATCACCCGCACTGATCTCTTTGGAAACTTCCTCATTCCCACCCCAGCTCCCTACCTCCTCACAGCCAAGTCAAACACTGCTGCTACTGCCACTTCTTCCAGGCAGCCCTCCCTCCTGTTCCACTGAGCTCCTGTAGCTCTGCCTCCCATACTATCCCCCATATTATAATCCATTTGAGTTAGTGATGGACTGACTTCCTCACTAGACCATAAGCTACTCGAAAGCAGGGATCACATTTGATGTGTTCCTGTTTCCCACAGAGCATGGTAAAACAGCAGGTATTTAAGTATAGAATGAATAAACACTGGGTCATCTTAAAACCATCTGGGAGCTTCTTAAAGAAAAATAAAGCCAGGCACTGTGGCTCATGCCTGTAATCCCAGCACTTTGGGGGGCTGAGGTAGGTGGATCACCTGAGGTCAGTAGTGTGAGAGCAGCCAGGCCAACATGGCGAAACCCCGTCTCTACTAAAAATACAAAAACAAGCCAGGTGTGGTGGTGCGCGCCTGTAGTCACAGCTACTTGGGAGGCTGAGGCAGGACAGGTGGAGGTTGGAGGTAGTTGGAGGTTGCAGTGAGCCATGATCATGCCACTGCACTCCAGCCTGGACGACAGAGTGAGACTCCGTCTCAAAAATAAATAAATAAATAAATAAATAAATCAAAAGGCCAGGTCCTACACCATGGAGATCCACATTCCATCATTGACTCAGGGATGTATATTTAAGAATTGCCGGCCGGGCGCGGTGGCTCAAGCCTGTAATCCCAGCACTTTGGGAGGCCGAGGCGGGTGGATCACGAGGTCAAGAGATCGAGACCATCCTGGTCAACATGGTGAAACCCCGTCTCTACTAAAAATACAAAAAATTAGCTGGGCATGGTGGTGCGTGCCTGTAATCCCAGCTACTCAGGAGGCTGAGGCAGGAGAATTGCCTAAACCCAGGAGGCGGAGGTTGCGGTGAGCCGAGATCGCGCCATTGCACTCCAGCCTGGGTAACATGAGTGAAACTCCATCTCAAAAAAAAAAAAAAAAAAAAAAAAAAAAAAAAGAATTGCCCAGGGGGTTGTAATGAGAAGCGAGAAGCCAGGGCCAAGAGCCATCCAGCGAGCGCCAGTGTCCTCATCTATAAGAGGACACCTGCTGAAGCTCACAGAGCTGCTGAAAAGATGGGCCAGTTGTCACATCTCAGGGGTCTAACAGGGTTGGGCACAGAGCTGGTGCTCCAGAAATAGGGAAGAACAAATGAAGAATGACGGGGTCCAGCCCTCTCACTTTCCAGATGGGAAAACGGAGATCCAGAAGGATGATGTCACTTGCAGAGGCCAGACAACAGAAGTCAATGGAAATACTAAGATGTGAATTTCTGGAATCTGGCATCCAGTAGGCACTCAATAAATGCCAAGGTCACAGTGAGTATTTAGTATTTCTACCCTTTTCCCCTCTAGCCCAGATAAGGCTGCAGATGGGCTACAAACTCCAGTGGGGTCAGCAGAGCCCCAGAAGGGGTACCCGGTACCAACCCTTCAGAGACTTCTGCGCAAGAGAGCGGAGGGGCGGGGTTGTGGGAGGATGGTGGTGAGACAATGGAGGGAAACGCTGTCCCCCAGAGATGCCCCCAACCCTCACCTTCGCACTGGTAATCACTCCATAGGGAGAGAACTCTTTCCTCAGTTTGTCGTCATCAATGGAGTCATCCAGGTTCTTCACGTACAAGTTCACGCCCTGGAGGGAAGGGAAGCTGTTGGAGACCCCCTTCCCCTCCAAGGCCCCACTGCCTTTTGGAGACCAGGGGGCTGACACAGGCATGAGGGGCATGGGAAGCCCCACCAGCCCAGCCTCCTGCTCCCCGTCTCCCTCAGCAACCAGGTCCCCCCATCCCTCAGCATGCCCATCATCTGCAAGCTGTGGCCGCCACATCCCTAATGCCCCTGCAGTTCTCACACACCCTCCCAGCCTCACCACAGCTATTCCCCATTTCACAGATGGGACCCACAAGGATGTCCCAGGTCCCACAGCAGGCTGAGGTCCAGGGCAGGCCCAAGCAGAGCTCTCCAGATAGCGGACGTCAGGCAGCAGGAGGCACAGCTCCTTGCCGCTGGCCCGTGACCAGACCCAAACACAGGCGAGCTGTCCCTCTACCACCTGCCAGCCCAGGAGCCTCGGGCACTTACTCATGCTGGTGCCAGGCGCCACTCTATGCTTTCTCAAACATTTTGATTTTTGTTTTTTTAGACGAAAAAAGTCAAAATGTTTGATTTTTTTTTGAGACAGATTTGATTTTTTTTTTTGAGGTGGATTTTCATTCTTGTTGCCCAGGCTGAAGTACAATGGCGTGATCTTGGCTCACTGCAACCTCTGCCTTCTGGGTTCAAGTGATTCTCCTGCCTCAGCCTCCCAAGTAGCTGGGATTACAGGCATGTGCAACCGGGCCCAGCTAACTTTATGTTTTTTAGTAGAGACGAGGTTTTACCATATTGGTCAGGCCGTTCTTCTGACCTCAGGTGATCTGCCCACCTTGACCTCCCAAAGTGCTGGGATTATAGCCATGAGCCACCACACCAAGCCACATTTTGATTTTTTTTTTTTTTTTTTTTGAGACAGAGTCTCACTCTGTTGCC